AGTTGAGTCGCATATTTTCAGACCCTTAGACCAAAATACAGTTTCAGCAAATACTCAAAATGTAATCATTTTATTGCTTGTTTGCCATGGGACAAGGACCAAGCTATCCTTTTTGAAGGCCTCACTGGTTTTCCTATTTAAGATTGGGCTGCTGAGCTGAGGTCCAGTCTGTACTTCTCAATAGCAGGAAGTCTTCCACATGTAAAACTTACCTATAAAAATGGTAACATTTGCGTCCTTCCTTGGTGTTTTTCTGTCATTTTGCATCTGCTTTGGAAGCTTCTCTGTCAAGGACTCTTTTCTACTTTTTGGAATGGAAAACAGAAACTGAGTTCTGGTGAAGTACAGGTAAATGCCTGTGAGCATCTGTGCATTCCTACATCTCTCTTAATACTCCATTACTTGCCACCTTCATCTCTACTCAGGGCACTCCTGGCAGCTCTCCCCCCTTGCACTACCTTCTCCCATGACACAGTCGCACTGTGTGCCCATGCTTAGTTTCTCCCAGTGGTCTGGTCAGATTTTCATGTCATTCAGGATATTCATCAGTCACCAGGCATCCCAAAACTCACTCCTCATGGGAAGGGGCTGGATCCACACCTCTGAGATTACAATTGCACTCCCTTTCTGCCTGGCCAGGGGAAGAAGCTAGGGCTCCACCTCTCTCTCTTGGAAGGAATGAAAAGGCAACCTGTCTCCACAGAGAGACTGTCAAAGTGGGTTTTAAATTGCATCCTATTCTGCTACAAGGCCATTGGAGTGCAACCACCCCACCTCATGTTGACAGCTCACTCCACGGGGGCTCAGTCTACTTCTCCAGCCATTTTAAAGGATGTTTCCATGGCTGAAATTTTCAAGGCCACAGCCTGGTCCTGTTATATCATGCTCTGCAAACATTACACTATCCTACCTGTATCCAAGATGGGCATCCCCTTTGGTGCCATCCTTCAAACCATCTTGGAGCCACCACCTCCGTGCATATCTTGTCTCTGAGTCACTGCATAGGGGTCTCTCATAGGGCCATATGCCCAATGAAGAAGGAAAGCTTACTTACCTTTTTAAAAACGTGAGTTCTTTGAGATGTTTTGTCCCTGTTCGTGCTTCATCCCCCGGCCTCCTTCCTTTCAGCTTCAGAGTCTCTGACTCTCTAGTTGAGAAGGAACTTTAGCAGCCGTGGTTCATGTCTCCCTACATCTGTTCATTGTGCTGCACAAGATGCATAGTGCTCAGGAGTAGATCTGTGGACGCTGTCAATTCCAATCTCTGGTTGATAGCGCATGAGCACACATGCTTTCCATGATGGAGCACCCATAGGGACAAAATATCTTGAACTCAAGTTATTGAAAGGTAAGTAATCTCTTTCTTTAATAAATTAAAAGTTGGGGAGTGCAGTGGCATCTAAAGGAAATCTACTAATTAAAACATTCTAGTAAAGTCTGTTAGAGCTGTACATTCTTTACACAAGGTGACAGTTTGGCTATTGCAAGTTGATTGTCCTTCATTAGCGGTAGCAGTTTTGGTGGTTTGTTGTTGACATTTATTTACTCTCTCTTTGCAGGTACTTGAGAGGTTGCAGCAAAGAGGATTTGAGATTGTTGGCTCATGTGGAGGAGGGGTGGACTCTTCCCAATTCAGTGAATACGTACTGAGGCGAGAACTCAGAAGGACATCTTGTGCACCTTCCGTCATTCGAATAAAGCAAGAGCCTCTGGACTAAATGGACATGTTTCTTTATGCAAAAAAGGGACGTTATATTTACAGTTTGGACACCAAACAAGTCCTGGAACTAAAATTGAATAAAGACGCCTTTGTATGAAATATAGAGACCACACCTGAATTCATATGGGAGCATTTGGATAGTAATAATAACAACTTCAAGGTGTAATTATATGTCAAAAATAGAAAATGCAAATGAAAGAAAAAAAAAGTTGGTAGATAGGGTTGGTGCTGTGATGACCATTAAGTGTCCTAGACCTTGTTTAGGACCACTTAATGGTAAACAAGCCATTACCATCAGGGGAGACACAAACTACTCCTATATATTTTCCATTACCAGAGATCCATCCATTTTCCCTTGTGTACATCTTGATTCAATTTATTTCCATATAGAGGTTTATGTCCGTGTCTTTTTAGAGGTAACCAGGCAGGAAAACTTCAGGAAACATCCATTCGTTGCCGTGAAAGCTAGTCGACTGAGATTTTAAACATAGTCTGTATAGAAGTCACACACTTTAGTCTGCCCTCACAGATGTGAAGTTACTTTTTTCATTTTAAATGAGTTGAGATTTTTGTTTGTGATGGGGCCAGAATTAATATTTGGTAGAGTTGTTGTAGTTTGAATCTGCTGCTCTCCTACAATTTTTTTAAATTTTATAATGTGTAGGATACAATAAACGCTGTTTAAAATAATAAGGGTCTGGTTTAACCAACAAAAAAAAAAAAGTTGAAATAATCCATGAGTAGCTCACACTGTTATTCTTCTCTGGAGTTCTAATAGGACTAGGAGAAGCAAGTTATCTTGCATACAGTAAATAAGCTGCAATTCCCCTGCACGGTAGAGTGAGTTACAAGAAATAGATGCTCTCATTGGCCTATACTGGAAAACTTGTCTGGTGAGCCCTGTATTGCTGGTTTACATTCAACACTAGTTTTTTAAGGTTTGTCTGAGTTTTTGAAAAGAGGCTATTGTGGTGATGGGACCATTTTCAACACTGGTCAAACTCAAAATAATAATAATAATAGAAGTTTGGGCCAGAGACCTCAGTAATGGAAACAATGCCAGGTGAATGTTCTGAAATCTATAACGATAGTCGCATCATTCCTTTTTAAACATGGAGTTGGCAGCTATAACTCTGAATTACCTTGACTGTAAGTTGGAATGTTTGTTTTTAATGTTGTTACTTTCCCTTGTTTAGGGCTAATAAGTTTCTGCCTAGAAGTGAGACTCCTCTGCTACACCATCAACCACCACCTTCTCACTAGGCAGCAACTTTCTACACGGTTATCCTACAAGTTATTCTCATTGGGCAACATCTTATTGAAATCAATTGAGCATGTGCCCAGTTGATGTCAATTAGACTTTGCAAAGTAAACATAACACATCCTGACACTACTGCACAAACTTCACAGGTTGATGATTTTATCATATAAGATGCACCAGCAACCACATTATCTTCCATCCAAAGTATTTTTATGCAATATTACACTATATGACTGTGTATTATTATGGAAAATCCGACTGAATCAATGGTGCAGGCATTCCATTCATTTGAGTGAGACCTTGCTATTTATTTAAAAACGTTGTGAAAAGCAAATACTCCATGTAACAAGTTTTTGAATATAGTTTTGATCACTGAAAAAAGTAAACCATTTTTTCTGGAGAGGGCGGCATAGTTAATATTTTCTAGTCCGTGCGTACCCTTGTGATTTGAAATGAGCAAGTCGTGGGAAGGACGTGAGGGCTGGGGGAGGGGAACTCCAGAAATTTCAGTTGGGTAGACAGTTATAAGGTTTTACTTTCATTTTGATCAGCTTTATGAAAAGCTGAAATAGCTGTATCATTTTTAAAAGCTTATTTTCAAGAAATAAGTACTTCACTTACAAAATAAATACATTCTTGTACTTCATTCCCTCCCCCTCCTTCCGGGTTGGTTGTACCTTTGGAAAGGTGTGGGGAAAGACAGTTGAATCCATGAGAAGTAAATGTTTTAACAAGTCTCTTCTAACCTAAACATAATTGAAAATTGGTTAAATATTCTTTGATTTAAAAACACAACCACCCAGGGATTGATATTTGTATTGGTGCAAAGTAGTCTGAAATGGTTGAGACTAAATTGAAAAACTTGAATATATGTTATGGAAACTCTGCCTGACTCTTGTTGCTACTGGGGCCTCTGACTTATTCCAGGGCACCTGACTGTCCTCTGTTCTGTGTTAGCACAGAGATCATTGGGATGGTTGGGAAACAGGCATCAAACGAATTCCTTTTATCTTTCCTCTTAAATTCCACTACAAAACATTTTGGTTGCTGTTTTTTAAAGTACCTGGGTTTTGTTCAGATGACAGATTAGTGACTCTTTGTACAATGTACCTGTTCAGCTCCCTGAAGCAAGAGAAAACTTCCTGATCTTTCCAAATCCCTGAATGGGCAGATATGTATGCTTTCACTGAATGTTCATTCATTAGAGTTGAGTCATGAATCATTCTGAGACCCTGAATGTAAATGTCAGAGCAATTATGTTGTAGCTATGGAGTAAGAGGTCACAAAGTAATGACTAATGAAAAGTAATGAGATGCAGGAAAACAAAACATAGATTTTTTTTTTTAAAGGAAACGGATTATTTGTCTGTTGACAAGTCACGCTTGTAACAATATGTCTTTTAAAATATTGCTTAGGAAATCTAATCAGTAGACACGTAAGCAACATATCCAGTAAAAGAAAACAAAAGGAGGGAAATAAGGACAACTCATTTCTGGAAGCTAATCATTTTTACATGTACAATAGTTTTAATTCATCTTTCTAAATATAACTGTATTTTATGCTATCAGTGGGTGTTTTATTTAGCTAATGCCAAGTGGAAAAATTGCAAAGAATGCCATCTGTCAAATCTACATGTCTGGCAGGTTCATTAAGCAACTGTCAAAGGACTGCTATGCATATACACTGAAAATGCCATGTGACACAATCTTCCTTAAAATAAAACTTTCCGAGGGGGGTGAGCCTCTGATTTCCAAAGAACTGTGACTGCATTGTTGCTTTTTGGAAAGTTAACCCTAGATTTTTACAAATAGCCCTCAAAAAGTTTCATTTGAAACCCAGCACAGTTCTTTCCCAAATTCAACCTTAATATACTGTGTAAAGTAAGTGTTCATCAATAATGACTCTTGAAACTCCAGATCTGATGAGCCCCTAAATTGAATTAATCAATTCTCTCCATTTGATTAGGTGGAAAAAAATAAAGTCCCTTATTTTAGTTACATTTTGTAGAATTTCTGCATACAAAAAAATACTAGTTAATATCTTCCCCACTGCTCTTACAACAGGAGCTTTGCAGAGTTCCATTTTGCAGTTTCTTTTCCCAATTCATTGCCATGAATCTAGGATAAAGCTGAATTGTGTGTGTTTAAGCTGCACTGATCAGCAGGCTCATATTTTCAGTTGTTGGCTAGCAGAGGCGGAGGTAATTGTGAAGCAGTTTGGTTGGGGTGGAAGAAGGGAAGGGCTGTATCCCATTGAAATTTGACTAAGGCCAGATCTAGACTACAGAGTTAAATCGGAAAAAGTTACACAATTTGAAGTATGTAAATTGTGTATCTTTTTCTGATTTACTTTCGAAAGAGGCTTTTCCAAAATTTGGCGCATCTACACGGTGCTAAATTTCAGAAAAGTGCTCTTTCGACACATCCCCTTATGCCTTGTCATCCTGGTAAACCTTGTTCTACAAAAGAGCGCATCTGAAAAATTTTTCGAAAAAGCGGACATGTTCCTTGGACACTGTATTGCTTTTCCAGGATAACTCCAGTATCCCGGAAAAGCAATGCAGTCTAGATGTAGTCTGTCAGACATGCTGCACAGGATTAAAAATCATATGACTGAAGACATAACAAAAGCCAGCAGGGACATCACCTGGAGCCTGACTCTGGCTACAGAGGACCAGATCTGAAAGTACCGGATTTGAGCAACCCATTCAACTATTTTTGTTCCCATTGTTCTGCAAATCATGAGCTAATTTTTAATTTACAAAGAAATAACTTGTTTATGGACCCTGAATATTTCATAGACCTTTTTAAATGGGCTCATACTTAAATTACAATGTTTTGCATTCCCATGAATGACATATCAAATACACTTTAAAGACAACGTCCACGCTTTTAAAGAGAACTTGGACTTCTATTGACCAATGTTTATTTTTTACAGAAATAAAACAATTTACTTGAATCCGTCACTTCTTTACTGAGGAATTCTATATTACGAATCATTTGTAGTGGACAACTGGTATGTGAATGTAGGCATTCTTGTTGATTTATTTACAGTGGAAATGAAACCAAGAAACCCTTAGGGCCTTTAGACCAGCTGATTTTTCTCAGACTTCAATGGTTTATTATTTCTTAAGGGTCTGGAGGGGATCACCAGCACCAAAATCAATACTTTGCATTAAGTCTCTGTGCTGTCTTTGGCTATTACCTCACTGATCTGGTTATTCACGCTCCCTGAAATAAACTGTGTATTGGATCAGATGTTCTGTATTTGAGAGAGAAGCTATTGAAGTCAAATCGCCACCTCTCTTCCAACACAGATGCCAAATATATAGTTGAATTGACAATACACAAGTTTTCTCCCAACTTTTATAACTGTAACTTGAGCTAGAGCATTGTTTTCATATTAGTCAATGACTAATGTCAGTGTTTATGGCATGTTAATATTAGCACTTGAAATTGTCCCTCTTTCAGATGAGACACTTGTTAGCAAATGTAGAAATGTCCCACGGGAGGTGTTGGATACCTTTTTGTTTTCTTGTAAATATATATATTTTTATAACTTTCTTGGCCTGCAGTTTAATACATTATTGTTGTTGTGTGGTATGTCCATGAAATGATCAATTAGATGATTTTCTTTTGATAATTGCTATTAAGAACCAGATTGTGCTCCCCTTTGTTCACATTAACTAGTAGTTTACTCCTTCAGTAATCTCTTTTGGATTGGATTAGATTATTTCATGGAGTAAGGTGCTATGTAATGGGGCCAGGGGTCAGAACCTGGACCAAAATG